ACCGCGCGACGCTTCCCATCTTCATTTTTACCGGCCACGACGTGCTCGGAATATCAAGAACGACGTCAGCAAAGTCCTCGTCGACGTGAACGCGTTATTGAGTTTGATTGGTACCCGATCTATTTTCCTACCCTTAACAGCTAACGTACTTCTCTCCCCATAAAACTGACTAGAATCAGCAATCGATAACGGAAGGAATCTCCTACCTTTCCGCAGCCTCTGGAATTGCAAAGTAGAACGCCGGCCGCGTGAATCCTGTACTCCTTGTCAAGTTGCTCATGTTGACCTTGAATCTTCCTGTAACAAAGGAACAGTAACTGTAGCGAAGATCCCGATTGATTGGAAAAAGTTTATCGAGTGCTCTCGAGGACTTGAGGATTCTGGGTAGACGGGCAGGAGGATCGATGGGAAACTAGAGAGTCGTAAACTCTGACACGCTTCAATGGCACATATTCCGCTTGTTTCCCGGCAAATGATTTAGGAATTGAAAAAGTTCTGGAAGCTGTGCGGAGGGCAAAGACGCGTGGGCCGCGAGGCGCTGACTCCGAGGAACTTCGGCAATTATGAGAGAGCAAACAACCTCATAAATTCCTCCGGCCTGAACGAGCGACCAAACGAAATCATTCGAGTCTTTGGTTGAAAATTTAAAAAAAAAATCAAAGGTCCGAGATGCCCCGATCAGGGAATTTTCGATCTAGGTTGGCATCGCCTGTCGCCTCCCTGCGCCACCTGCGCAACAGGAAGCGTCACTAATGCGAACCTGCCCACTGATTCTCCACTGTCCCGCATGGCCAATGTCGAACTCCTAATCAAAGCAGCGGCAAGGAAAAAGCCAATTGAACGTGTTTGCCTGCTCGGACTCCCGATTACGCTTTGGCGAAGCAACCAACCAAGCTGATCCTTGCTAACGAAATATTAGCCTTTCCTTGAATTGGCCGACCGCGCAAGCGAACCGCCATCAGGGCAAAGAGTCAAGAGTCAGTAATGCCGGTGAGGCTGAGCGCGAGGGAACCCGAGGAAAAGTCGACCTCGATGATTAGCGAGCTTCAGAGTAACTTAACCCAACCTAACCGTGAACTCGCGCAAAACCCTGAATTCCGGGAGAATGAAATATTTGTCTTGCACGAAAGTGGCGAAGGCTAAAGGAGCTGGGCTGCACCAGCCTCCTTTCGTTTCTCTTGGTATTCTCTCTGGCTGCTCGACTGGCCCGCAGTCTCGGGAGCGCAAAAGTTTCAGAGACACCCTCGCGAACCGCGACCATGAATTATTATCGCATCAGGAGCCGACATGGCGGGTACCATTGCATGATTTCACCATCTAACCTAACCTAACCTAACCTAACCTTACCTATCCCATCTTAATCTCTATCCGAGAACAGAGAATCGCAAGCAGCAGTTCACGAAAACAGAGCCTCAACTCCCTCCGCATAATACAATAAATCTCTCGCCCTAGATAATCCATTCGTTTGCGGAAATTGCAGCCGGACTGCCAGTCGCAAGTTTCACGATCTTTCAACTAATGAGAAAAAAAGCAAAAACAAAAAGTATTTTGAGCTTATATTCTCACTTCTCGTTACTGTTGGTCGTCAACAAATCGTTCAAGATTCGCCAGCTTCCCCAAGTACGTAGTTACAGTTTGTTTAATGCCGCAGAGCCTCGTACGAATAATGCTAGGACAAGACCAGAAGGAGCACACGACTATGGGAACAAAAAATGTTCAGCGTAACGTAAAATCTTAAGGCACGGTTAAGTATGGAGACTGCGGCTGCCATAAGTTCCGTTCTCCAGGAAGACGTTATACCTTCCTACGAGAAGAATACTAAGCAGCGAAGTACACGTAGAAACCGTCAGATTCCACACTGGCGTTCAGAGAACATATAAAACACAGCTCGTTAGCAATCTCCTCGGTATATAGGTATTTCGTATCGCCGACCCGCAACGAACTTTGCCTGTTTACTCTTTCCTATGGAAATATTGCTCCTCGAATGAGATTACAAAACTATGGAAGATACTGCACCCAGAAACTGTCTAGCGTCTTCCTGCCCTCCCTGCTGCGTGTGTATTCTACGCTCCCTGCTAGAATTATGAGTATCGTCGTGTCACTGTTTATCTATGTGCGCCTGAGAGAGAGACATACGAGATAGGATGTGTGCGTCCTATTTATACCCTATGACTTTCGTCCGCTGAGGGCATACAGCCAGTAATGCAGATAGATTTTTACAATATTTTCTCAACGCATTACGTTAAACGCTCTAATCGCTATGAGTTATTACTATATCTAAATCCACTGCTACTTCTAGACTAGTAGCACCTACTTATTACTTAATATGATTGCTAAGGAAAAAGTTGTATATGCGAGTTTTGAGAATCGAGTTCGATTCAATCAATCGTACATTGTCAGGCAAAAAGTACCATAAGACAGTGGCCACGCATGCAACGATTTGTTGCGAGCCTCGTTTCTGCAAGTTGGTCCGAGTAAAACGTTCGGTTGAATTTGAGTTGTTTCACTCACTATATCAAATTCGAATCGGGAGCAAAAATCTTCAAATAAGTAAGAAAGCCTGTGCGCATTTATACTTGAGCTGTCAGATCGATCAGAAAATATTGTCTGCTCGCGTCAACTTTTAAGGGCAAAGTGAGAGAGAGAGAGTGAGAGGAAGAGTAAGGGAGAGGGAAACTACTGCTAGCCGTACTGACAGAGCTTGTTAATATACACCTTAATAACGTTACTTGTGAGTACATCGAATTTCTCGAAGCAACTAACTGCTAACCGCAATGGATTTTCAAATAAAATAGAGATCTCAAGTTTAATGAAACTTACGAAATCGCGTGCAATAGTTCCTGTCGCTGCTTCTCCTTGGCTTTAACGCTGCCGCCTTCCGCAAGCGCGACCTGCAGCTCCCGTTGTAAAACTGCCAATTTACGCCGCTCGCCTTCAAGCAGCAAGGAAGTTACCTGCAACAGAAGCGTTGTCTTGAGTCGGTCTGCTGATCTGACACTTCGAAGTAACCCGTCCAACAATGGAGGTACCTACGGAAATCCACTGGAGCGACTACATCAGAAGGTAATACCACACTCGACTGATTCCCACCCTTCGATTCGAACTGCAGCTCCTCGGCCGCCATCATCCCTCATTAAAACTAGAAGGCAGAGACCTCTGGTAAGCTAAGCTAGTAACTCTGAGAATTTCTACTTTACCATCGTAAGATTAGCTCCCGGCAGTCGCGACAGTTCACGACACAGTCTTTTCTACAAGTTTTTCGAAAGAAATACCCAGTCACGTACATATCAAAGGATATACGAAGTTCAGGTAATTCCCACGAGATACGCGTGAGTGGTCGAATGCATCGCGTATTTATACACACAGATAGAAATGAGTCTGTTAACGGTCGTTCTCGTGCAAAAATCACTTTCCTCTTAACACCGATAACGATCCGCTTATTCGAGCAGCTCCGGACCGAGACTCGTGTACGTGAAACAACGAGGATGCGTTTACACTCCCTCCTCTTCACGAGATAGATATACAGATACAAGGCCCACTAGGTTCGCGTACTTGAAGCGTCTACCGTAATTGGCTGAAAGCGCTCAACTTCTTACGATTATATGACTTATTATTGCAGGATTATGCAAATTCACTGCAATCGCGCAGGATCGCTACGCGTTCCCTCTTCGCTGGGATATGCGTCATCGTGAAGCCACGTGCAGCGCCAGTGGCAGAGAACCGAAGTTAATTTTACCCAAAATTCAGAATGGGATCAGGAGATTAGGTTTTAATGTATTCGCCTACCAGCTCACGCGAATAGCGTGGAGTTGGATAGTAGTAGAAAATTACACAGCACTTCGACATGTTTTAAATCCTAAAATCTGTATTTTATCAAAGTTCCCTCACGCAAAGTTGGGCAACAAAGTAACGGCCAGGGAAAGATTTTTCACTTTCTTAGCTTTTTCGTACGACCCTTTTGTGTCGCATCCCAGGATTTTTCCACCATTCCAGCATCTTTCGTTGACAGCACCCAGGCATGAATTCCGTTCATCAAACGAAAAAAAAAGGTTTTCGAACTTTTGCAATAACAGAGTTGTTTGAATCCCAAAATGAAATAAAATATAGGAGATAAATTTGGAAACTCGATAAACCCTAATAGGATTCGAATATCGCGGTTACGCCATTGCTCTTGCAATTACGCGTCGGTCCTGCATTCGCATGCACTTGTGCATGCGCTATCCTCAGCGCATCCAGGTGCATCGATGTATCCTAGCTAGGACTCTCGGTCTACCTAATCTCAGCAAACTGATCAGCCGCAGTCTGCTGAGCAAGAAACCAAGAAAGAAAATGCTGCAGCAGAGTCGTAATTAAGACGTCCGATTCCTGTGTACGTTCCACGAGACACGACCTGCGGTCCATGAGGACTGGAGGACGGGACGGTGTGTGCGTTACGTAATGAATCGCAGGCCAAGAGAGATGCTTGCGCCGCTGCTGCTGCTGCTGCTGCTGCTGCTGCTGGCTGGACGTGACGACACTGCCTTTTAAAAATTGCCAAATGCGTGCAAACTGCCAGTCAGCTTGGGCAATTATTCTTTTAGTACTGTTTTCTGACTTTCGAAAGAAATTTCGGAAAGAGCAATGACTCCGCAGTCGGGATCGTGCGATTGCGAAATGAAATTAACTTCCACTCGACACGAAGTAACCAAGCTGCGCTTAACATTGTAATTGTGTCCTAGTCACGGAACAGGTCGAGTTGGCCCAACTTGGAAACTCTACTTGACCGATCTAGTATACTTCTTAGTCGATATCAAGAACGTAGATATCTACGTAGAGGCAGAAAATAGATGATTGAACAGACGTCGGACAGAGGGAGACACATCCGTGACTAATTTCAAGGGAATCGAAGCAATCGCGCGACGCCATTGCGGTCTGTCGACTATTACCACCCCCTCCCCGCCCCTCCCTCGCCAACGCGCCTTTGTCTTCGTCTTGCACGCCATCTGGGATGGCGACGTCCCTTGATCGCATCCTCGCAGCCACTGGAGGAGCTGGAAAATGGATCCAGCTCAGAAAGGATCTCATAGAATGCATCAATGAAAAACCTCAACTGGTAGATCCAATCGATCTCCTGTTCCAGGCGAACCAGCCGGGCATCCTCTCTGTGGGCGCGAAAAGAGCACCGTCACCTTTCACTGCACAGTGTTTATAAGTTTCCAGTCGACGACCCGAGCAGCCACTCTGCGATCGGAGCGGATCGGAGCGGATCCGGGCCGGGCACCAGGCACCAGGCACCAGGCACCAGGCACCAGGCACCAGGTTGGCCGGCCGGTCGATGGGAATGGAAGGCGCAATTCATGCACGCCCGACGGTCACGGACGTGCCGAACGAAAGGAAGTCGATTCGTCCGTGGAAAGTAGCGAGAGTCGACCTGGCGCAGTCCAGCCTGAGGATCCATAGTCGAGCGCCTACTTGATCGTAGGCCTGCTGGACCCAGGACGAAGCCGATCAATCTCATTGTTGGTAGCTGCCCGCCATTTTGCTTGCTGGACTCATTCCTATTCCGAAGTCTTTAAACTGGACACGTGGGCATGCGGACGCACGTACAGGCATATGGCCACACGGAGCCATGTTTATGGGGACGTCAAGTCGTTCGTCGTCCTAACGAGCTCAAGATATCGATCCTCTTCGAGCCCCCAGTGACGAGCAGCAGGAGAGCGTCGTCGTTATTGCGCGTCTTTCGTCTTTCGTCTTTCGTCTTTCGTCTTTCCTCGAGCGGCGCTCGTCTTCGGGAGTCTTCGAGATTCGATCCAATTTTTTCTTCTCGTTCTTTCGTAAGCGACCCGAATCGATTCGCCTTCGAAAGCGGCGCGCACCTTGATACTTGCCGGACGCTGTAGTGGATTTAACGGGCAGAGGAAGGTTGCTTTTGGCAAAAGGCGCTTCACGACGTGAAGCAGTGAGGCGCCGAAAGATCCCGAAAAATGCCAAAAAATACAGAAAACGTCCTCGAACTCGTCCAAGCGTCTCTACGTCTCTACGTCTCTGCGTGTCTCTCTACGGCATCCCCTGTAGAAATTATATCCTTCTTCGGTTCACGAGCCATCCATTGTTGCCAATTGTAGAATTATAGAATTTTTGATCGTATCAAGTGCCACGTATACATTTCCAGCACTCGAACGAACACAAGCAGCGCGTCCAGTCATTCTGCCAGCGGATATTGCGCAAGGATAGATGAGATTGGAGAAAAGATGAGAGAGAGAGAGAGAGAGAGAGAGAGAGAGAGAGAGAGAGAGAGAGAGAGAGAGAGAGAGAGGTCCGACGTCGACTGGCGTCTACTGGCGTCGCGAGTCTTGTGCGTGAGTCCTCAAAAGCGTCGGTTTCTGTTGCGATCATAGTAATTCATTATTATTAGCACGAAAGTGAAACTGCGGGCGCACGAGTCCGTAACTAGATTCCACGATGACCGACAGGCTGCCGCAGCGTCGCGGCGCTTCTCGCTCTCTACGACGCAACGACTTTTGCGCCCGAGAACAGGATTCGAGCGTCGCCGTTCTCACGTGTCGTCGTCGAACAGCCTCTGTTAAAGCTACGTGCTTCATGTTCCTTCGTGTTCCTTCGTGTTCCAGCTTCCACCTGCTTCACGCTTCATGACGATAACGGCGTCTATAAAATTGAGCCAGCAATTAATGAGTTTTCACTTTCGCCGATAGTACCGAAATGGAATAAGAATTCTACACGTGGTATCAGCAAGCGGCATCAAATTACATTAAAGTAACCCCAACCAACCCGGACATGCACACGTTGCCAGTTTCCTCCCTACGTTCAATTACGAAAACTTATCTTTTCTCTAAGATCGCATCGTGCTGAGATAACGGATCGCATTTGTTTCCAGCCCAATTTATCTCGAATTTATCTACCTGTCTATCCCCCCCCCCCCCC